ATTCACATGTTGTCTTCCTGCCAAAGAAGGAAAGGAGGGAAAAAGTAACATTGCAGTAGAGAAACCTGACAAACATCACCTCTGCTGGGTAGTTAAGGCTAACGTTAACAGTGATAAGTCATGTTGTTGTTAGTATCCTTGATATCATGTGACAAAAATGGTACTTTGCCTCTATGGTTTTCCTTCCCAAAATCCATATCCCCAGTCTCATCATGAGAGAAACATCAGACAAATTCAAGTTAAGGGATATTCTACAAAATACCTAATCAGTATTCCTCAAAACTGTCAAGGTCATCAAAAATGACAAGAGGAACCCAAGGAGACAAGATGACTAAATGTAACCTTGTATCCTGAATGGGATCCTGGAACAGAAAAAGGATATTAGGTAAAGACTAATGAACTATAAATAAAGTATGGATTTTAATTAATAACAATGTGTTGGTATGGATTTATCAATTTCAAAAAATGTACCATACTAATGTAAAGAGAAATTGGGTGTAGGGTATATGGGAACTCTTTGAACTACCTTTGCAGTTTTTCTGTAAATCTAAAAGTTTTTTTAAAAGTTTATTTTAAAATATCAATTAGCTATATTTGTATCCATTTCTCACTTTTTAACTGCTCCATGAATCTGTTTCTATCCTTTCTCCTATAACCCACTCTCTTGATTGCTATAGCTTAATAGTACCTCTTGGAATCAGTTGCATGAGGTCTCCAAGTTTGTTAGTTTCCTTCCTGCACTGTTCCTGGTTTTCTCTGGAATTAGTAATTGTCTTGGTTGGTTTGTGTGTTTTCTCAGACATCCTACTAATTCAACCCTCTCTTCATTAGATTAAATCTGCACTCAAGACAAACATTTCAAGAATATTGTCAATTTCATCTTCCCAATGAAATCATTCCTAAAATCTTTTAATTTACTAGTTTTGGGACTGCTTTCCCTTAAATGAAATATTCATTTCCCTAGATGTCCCAAAACCCAAGGTCCCAGGAGGTAAGGGTTTGCTTAGATGTATATAAAGCCTATCTTTTATCACTTCAAATTAGGGTGACCAGAAGTCCCAGTCTGCCCAGGTTATCTCATTTTAAAACTGAAAATCTGGCCGGGCATGGTGGCTCACACCTATAATCCTAGCACTCTGGGAGGCAGAGGCAGGAGGATCGCTCAAGGTCAGGAGTTCAAGACCAGCCTGAGCAAGAGTGAGACTCCGTCTCTACTGAAAATAGAAAGAAAGATCTGGACAACTAAAAATATATAGAAAAAATTAGCCAGGCATGGTGGCACATGCCTGTAGTCCCAGCTACTTGGGAGGCTGAGGCAGAAGGATTGCTTGAGCCCTGGAGTTTGAGGTTGCTGTGAGCTAGCCTGATGCCACGGCACTCTAGCCCAGGCAACAGAGCAAGACTCTGTCTCAAAAAAAAGGCATTAAATAATAAAAAAAAAAACTGAAAATCTTGTGTCCTAGAAATCCCCGGTCCTCAGAAAACCTGGATGTTTGGTCACTCTACTTCAAATATAAACCCTAATCCTTATGCGTGAGTTGACTTCAAGTTTGTGAATCAGCTGTTGGAAAATTGAATAAATTCATAAAACATGGTCGTATTATAGTTCATTAATTGTACTTATTGTTAACCACTTACCATGTAAATGAACTGGTAGTGAACTCTTTATTTTTTTTCCTTTTCCTTTGCCTTCTAATTTTTTGTTCTTATTTCTCTAACCCTATAAAAATCAAGTATGATTTCAGGTGTATGAGAAGCAGCCTGTTTTGCATGTCTCTCCTTTGCAGTAATTAAAAAAAACAAGCCGGGTGCGGTGGCTCACGCCTGTAATCCTAGCTCTCTGGGAGGCTGAGGCGGGCGGATTGCTTGAGCTCAGGAGTTCGAAACCAGCCTGAGCAAGAGCGAGACCCCGTCTCTACTAAAAATAGAAAGAAATTAATCGGACAACCAAAAATATATAGAAAAAATTAGCCGGGCATGGTGGTGCATGCCTGTAGTCCCAGCTACTCGGGAGGCTGAGGCAGAAGGATTGCTTGAGCCCAGGAGTTTGAGGTTGCTGTGAGCTAGGATGACGCCATGGCACTCTAGCCCGGGGAACCCAGTGAGACTCTGTCTCAAAAAAAAAAAAAAAAAAAGCTTTCCTTTAATGAAAGTCCTTTAGGTAGTTTCTGAGACTTTGAGACAGAGAATGAGGTGAGATGGGGTTGGCCACAGGCCCCAGTACAGGCCTGCTGAAGAAGGGCTGCAGGATGCAGAAGGGAGGAAGAGCTGGGCATACACATCACTCTCTGGGCTAAAGTGGGTAGTTTAAGACCTTAAAAACACTTATCAGACAGATGTTAGAGACTGTAGTAGGCTGCTTCTGAGATGGGCCCCAGTGATCCTTGCTTCCTTGTGTAATCCCCTCCCTTTGAGTGGGATTTATGTTTAACTCATGACTGATATATCATTTTGTGATTAGATTATGTAAGATTACACTCACTTCCTATTAGTGGACTCTCTATTGCCTTCTTGGCTTACATGCTTTAATTATATTGGGGTGCTCTATGTAGCCAGTAATTATGGCCTCTAGTTGTTGAAGGCAGCTTCTGGCTGGTAACCAGAAAAATACTGAAGCCCTCAGTCCTATAACCACAAGAAACTAAATTCTGAGCTGGGAAGCAGAACTTTCCCTGGTAGTGCCTTGAATAAGACCACAGCCCTAACCAACACCTTGACTACAGCTCTGTGAGACCCAAAGCAGAGGACCCATCTAAGTCATGCCTGGATTTCTGACCCACAGAAAATATAGCAAATGTGTGTTATTTTAAGCAAAAAGATTTTCTTCTTAAGAGACTTTCTCAGATCATGAGTTCAATCAGTGCTGTTAGTGACCTGGAGTGCTGCAGGGGGTAGAGGGACCCATGCTGCCACTCTGCTGTGCCCTGGAGGAATGACAATCTTTGGAGTATTGGAGGGGAACTACCAGTGAAGACCTTGGTATCCTCACTGAGGACCACATCAGCTAAAGCCACAGAGAGGCACTTTGAGAGATTTCTTTGAGCAGACAAGGGAATGTCCTATAGGGAGAGATGGGTGAAACCTTTCAGTGACTCTACTTCACAAACTGAACAGTTAGCAGTGTGAGACACTTTTTGTGGAGTGTGCTGCCTGAGTTCCCTAGAAAATACAGCTGAAGATAAGGGCGATGAGTGTGATGCTTTAGTCCAAGACAGAATGAAGGAAAGAGATAAGGCAGGGAAGGATGAGAAGTATTGTACTGGCTGTTGCTTCACAAGAGGATGCCAAAAACTCAGCAGACTGGCATGGGTACCCACTCAGCCACACAGGACATCTCCTGAAAGGTTGTGCAAAGAAACCATGTCTTAGAATAGTTCATGGGAGGGAGAAGAAAAGGGAATTTATGTCTGGCTCCTTCCTGCCTTGCTGTTATTGATCAAAGTTTGCTCCCCACACTTTTGGGTTTATGCCTTTGGCCCCTTCAGAACCCAGGTTCCACAACCAGTGGGGAGGCATTTCATCCAAGTTTGGCAGTGGTAGAAGGATCCAGAGTTCCAGGGAGTGTGACAGTGGCCTGGATGCACAGAGCAGCCAGGGGAGAGGGCCCAGACCTCTGTGGTGAGTGACTGGTGGTCGGGATAACAGGGCTGGTAGAACAGAGGTCCCTCGGAGTGGGCCGGCTATTGTGGTGGCTGAGGTGGGGCAAGAGGTGAGGGGTCTGGAGAATGGTGGCACTGAGACTCTCTTGGAGAGGCATCTGAGGTATGTCCTAATGCAGGTTCTCCCAGAAAGACCTGGTGGGGGAGGACGGTGACTTTTGCATGGGGCCGGGACTCTGTGGGAAGAAACAGATAAAAGTTAAAGATATGATTGTTAATTTAATCTCACTTGAGCTGGGCTCCGTGGCAAGTGCCAGTAGTCCCAGCTAATCAGGAGGCTGAGGCTAGAGGATCACTTGAGCCCAGGAGTTTGAGGTTAGGTTGGGCAACATAACAAGACTCAGTCTCTAAAAACAAACAAATAAAAAAACCAAAAACAAAACTGTTACAATTTAAAAAAGACAAAACCCAATTAAAAAAAATCAAAACTTTAACCTCATTTGTATCCTCCAGACCAGGGAATTCTGGGAATATTTTGGTTTCAGGTAAATGACTATAGCAAATGGCAGGTCTACTCAAAGTTCTAAGAGATGCTCCTTCCTGTTGGACTGAAGCCTTCTGAGAAGGGGCACCCCAAAGGATGATGTTCCAAGAGACGAGAATGAACCAAGACCCCTAGATGCAAAATGTGTATGGGGAATCTCAGTACTGTGTTAGTGAAGATGTAAAGTTGCAGCCAACTTTACATTCTTGGGTAAAGAAATGGACTTTATTTATTAGGCAACAGGAGGCCTGTCAATAGTTTTAACCTAGAGATGCTAGGCAATGGGAAATTAGAGATCAAGGAAGTGTTCTAGTTCCCCTAAGTGTGATATTGCACAGCTGAACCCACAGACAGGGAGGGAGGGGTAAAGCTGGGGTTCTTAACCTATGTCTATTAATCGCCTGGGGAAGTTTTTGTGAATCTCGGAAATTGCAGGCAACGTTTCTGTGAGGGCCTTCACACCGTTCATCAACTTTCAGAGGGTCTGGACCCCAAAGGTTATAATGCACTGGCACACAGTGAAAATCAGCAGCTACCTGTTCCCCAACCCCTAGCCTGGAGGCACATAACTCCCCGTGTTATGTTAGCCAGGAGGCAGAAGCAAAACCAGCCAGGAAAGCCTCCCTCAGAGTTAGGAGGCAGTTCGGGCTCCTAGAGACATGATCTGCACTCCAAATTTGGAAGCCAGGAGGGTCCCATCGTTGAAACAGTCCTGCTTTGGGGATCTGCCCAGTCGTAAGCATGTTCTAAGTACCGGGCAGAAGCCGGCGCAGTCTTACCGCAACTGCGCAGGCGCTAGGACCGCAGGGTCACCGTGCGCCTCTCGTGACGCCCCGCCCCGGCGCGAGGCAGGACGGGAAAGCCAAGATGGACGCGTCCATTTGATGGTCTCGCACACCTGCCTGCCATTAGCAGTTGCACTTATTGCTGCTGCCCATTCTTCCTCCAGAATAGGAGGAGAGGGGATGAGAAGCTGCCGCGTCCGAGGAGTCACTGTGATCGACCCCGCCGCTGCCCTCGGGCCTCCTCGGCCCCTGCACCTCCCGGAGCAGCCGGGGCTCGCCGCGCCTGACGCGTCCCGGCTTACACAGGTGCGGGCCCGGGTCCGCAGCGCCAGGTGGTGTGTCGCGCGTCCCCTGACCCTCGCACCCGATTCACGTCCGGTGACCCTGAGGGTTAGGAACCCGGGGGCAGCCCCTGAGCGTGTCTGGGGGCTGAAAGGGCTCCTGGCCTGTGGGCTGAGTTGTACTTCCCAGCTCTCTCCTTGCGGTTCTCTTTTCTGAGCTAAAGGCGGCATCTCATGTGTGGTCTCAGCTTCTAGATTGGCCCCCCAGACCCCCTGAGTGGGTTTTTTGAGGCCCAGTCTCTTAGTCTGTTGTTTACACCGCCCGCTAAAGAGGCTGAGGAAGCACTGTCTTTTTGTGGAGTCTCATCTCAAGGTCCCTTTTGTGTTTGCTTTAGGTCTCCTTTTTTTTGGCAGAGCAGGTTTTGTTTCTAGCAATTAATGCTGGTATTTTCATTTATAGCATATCGATTTAATATAGTGCGTTTATGTGTAGCTTTTATGTGTTGCCCCAACAAGTAAAAACATTTATGAAAGTTTGGGGCGCTGTAAAAGTATTAAATATGTTGCCTTAATCAGTACAAAAAGATACTGTGCTGTGAAAATAATCCTTAATTAATCATTCTGTATTTTTCTCTCAAAGTTATGAGAAAATAACGTTACAAAATTGCACAACTAAAGTTGGATAAAATCGCAAATTCTTTAATGTTTGTTATCCTTTTGGATAGAATATAGGAAGACCAGTTGAATTTTGTTTGTAAGGCACTTTTTTAGTTATGTCCCAAGTTCAAGTGTTTTCAATACTGATTTATTTCTAGCAGGAAGAAAAAAAAACCAAAAACTTGTGTCCTATTTTGTGACCTTATAATCTCAGGAATAACGTTAATTCGCACCAAAATTTGGGAGTCTAAAGGAGTGGTATAGGTACTATATAGACTTTGAGGTGTTTGTGCAGCAAAGAAAACTGATGCCAAAAAGACCTCAGATGAGAAGTCTAAGTCAAATTTAATTGAACTCTATTAATCTTGGGTGCCGTTTCACTTCAAAGATTGTAGTGCTGACAATTGAATGTTTTGATTTCTGTGTTTGAGGATTACCGCTTAGATGCGATGCCAGGAATCCTGTTTTTATTGTAGATGTTGTCTCATAGACAGAACTGGCACCCACATTATATACTACATTATACAGTGTCAGAATTTTACCATCTGCCTCTTACTGTATGTAGAAATGTTAGGGAGGTACAGCAGCATGTTTCCACCCACACTTCATCCGCATCTTTGTAGCAGTAAACTATACAGTAATGGATTATATTAATTAAAAGCTAGGACTCTTAAGTCTGCTGTAAGAGACTTAAGCATGACTATTCCATGGCTAGAGTTATTCATGCCTTGGTTCCCTGTGTTTGGGTAATTGAAATTGGAAAATTGATCTGTAGTTATATATTTAGGTGGGATTGGGTTGTCAAAGCTACTTATGACATTTGCTAACTTATTAGATCTTTTGTGGATTGGTCAACCGAGAGCAGTAGTTCAACTTCTGATGAATTAGAGAAATAGTGGGTTTTTTGGTTTGCTTTATTTCATTATGCCAGTGATCCCTTAGGCATGCTTTTCAAATGAGGTTCCAGCATCTGAACAGAAATGACCTTAAATGTTGAGAAGCCAGGTAGTTACAGGACTATAAGGTACAATTTGTCTAAATATTTTATATATGAATTGTGGAAAATTAGTGAAGAGTGGTAGGAAACATGGGATAGGTATTGTGGGAGGGTATAATTACTTGTCTCAACTCAGTGGTTTCCTACAGTGGTTAACTGTCTATTTGTCAGTCTGCAATTAAAATGTGGTAGCTAAAATATGACAGTAACCACAATTGCCCAATGGAATCAAACCTGGAAGGCCCTTTGATGTTGTAATTACTTATGTACCTACAATATGATAGGATTGACAGTCATCTAAGGATTAATGACTTACGTAAATGCTTATGGTATTTTTGTTCTGGTTTTGAGTCTAGAAGCTGACCAGAATGTGTTTGAATTCATACAGAAATAATGTTGATATTCGGAACCCATGTCGAACTTCTATGAAGAAAGGGCAACGATGATTGCAGCCGGGGATTTGCAGGAATTTGTTCCTTTTGGTCGAGACCACTGCAAGCACCACCCTAATGCTTTGAACCTTCAGCTTCGCCAGCTGCAGCCAGCCTCTGAATTATGGTCTTCTGATGGTGCTGCTGGCTTGGTGGGATCCCTTCAGGAGGTTACAATCCACGAAAAACAGAAGGTTCCACTGAATTTCCCATTTTATTTTTGAAATGTAGAGTGATATGATCTACTTGTAATTTACAGTACCCAGATGCAACTGAGAAATGAGTATGATGCTACTTCTAGGATAGAGGTTAAGGTTTGGTAATTTCAGTCAATGCTAAAATACTGACTTTACCATATTATAGTGTTCATTTAGACATACTATATATCTTGTGGTTTTATAATGAGAGTCAAGTTCAGTACTATGATTATGGTCCCTTTTAAACCTCTTTCTCTGACATAGTATGGGAGACCAGATTTCATGTTAGCTAATGGTTAAATGGTAGAGATCAGAAATGGTCCCTGCTACAAAAGACTTACATTTTTCTAAAGGAGAGAAGAAATACCACATAAGTAGGTAGAGTAGTAGTTCTTAAATAGGGGAAGGAGATGTGTGTGTCAGAAAATCAGCCCTGCCCTCCTTATTCCATTTTGATATCCTTTTGGGATACCAGAATCTCAGGGAGGGAAAGTCTACGTAGTTAGAAATTGAACCTGCTCTTTCTTTCTTTCATTTCCAGGGTAGTACAAAGAAAGGAAGGTGAATATATATATGTAATAGCTATGAAGCAGGGAGTACTGCATTGTATATGAACTCCCCCAGTGAGTCCCACATGCGTTTCATTGATCCCTCTTGACTCACCCTCCCATACACTTAATATGTCTTTATAGTCTCCCAAGGATGTGATTTCATTTTTGGACCTATAGATAAGGTATAATTTTTGTTTATATTATTGGCAGAATAATATAGTGGTATAATATAAAACATTTAGCATAGAGAATTCTTGAGCAAATTCTTGTTCATGAAATCCTGTAATGTATAATGCACATACACATACTCTGTTAATCCGTGCACAAAACCTAGGAGTTGGGCTTGGATTGAGTCTTATGCCACAGGCAAATAAATCTTGCTCTACACTACTGAAAAAGAAAAAAGTGCTTAAACATATCTTTCATGTGTTAATTTTTAAGGAAAGCTGGCAGCTAAGGAAGGGAGTAAGTGAAATTGGAGAGGAAGCGGACTATGATGAGGAACTCTATGTTGCTGGAAATATGGTGATCTGGAGCAAAGGAAGTAAAAGCCAGGCATTGGCAGTTTATAAAGCATTTACGGTCGACAGTCCTGTTCAACAGGTGAGTTGATTTGAATTTTAGCATTTGATTGATTATTTAATGCATTTTTTTTAAAAAAGCTTTTGTTTTGAAATTTAACAGAAATGGTAACAGCATAAGGATCCCAGCAGCTGGTTGTACATTTTAACATGTAGTGAAGATAATGGCAGGGGAATAAAAATTTCACTTTATTTTTATTTTATATATCATCACTTTTTTTTTTTAACACTATCCTTTGTCACTTTAATGATAAGCTTTAAATACTTTTTCCTTGGGTAATTCAATTTGTTTTTGTCTTATAACAAAAAGTTATAAGACACTAAAGGTACAAAAATTGTTGGGTTTTTTTGGAGACAGAGTCTTGCTCTGTTGCCTCGGGTAGAGTGCAATGGTGTTATTGTAGCTTACTACAACCTCGAAGTCCTGGGTTCAAGTGATCCTCCTGCCTCAGCCTCCTGAGTAGCTGGGATTACAGGCATGTGGCAAGATGCCTGGCTAATTTCTCTATTTCTAGTAGAGACGGGGGTCTTGCTCTTGCTCAGGCTGGCCCTGAACTCAAGCAGTCCTCCTACCTCGGCCTCCCAGAGTGCTAGGATTACAGACGTGAGCCACCACGCCTGGTCTGAGTACAAAAATATTTTAGCACATGATTATAATTGATTGCAAAGTATTGAATAAATAAAAATCATTGGGTTCATAATGATACTCAGAAAGAGAAAGAAAAAAACACTAATTTCCTACCATTGCAGTTGGCCATTACACCTAACTCCGTTCTGAAAATTGGTAATGAAAGGGAGGGAATTAAGCATTTGCCATATTTTTTCAGGAAGACATGCAGTTCAGCTCCATTCGATGATTTGATGAAGAAGAACTCATAGAAGAATGCTAGTTAATAAATGTAGAAGGAATGATAAAATTAGAAAATCACTGTTTTGTAACCTCCAGTGCAATAATTGATTCAGGCGAGGCTTGTAAATGGATATAACACTGTTGGGTGAAAGATATTATATGGATTACTTGCTAAACGTGAAGGAACAAATGTATCTCTACTTTGGGGTTATCTGTGAAGTGACTGAGAATTAGCAGTGGGATGAAGGAGTATTAATGTGCTTCCAGCTATAAATGCAGAATGAAGTACATGATGTCGTCTATTAAGTTTTCTTCCCAGAAATATTTAACCCAAACATTTAGACCTAACTTCCAGCTTATAGGAAATATAGGACCTAGAGGATCAAATTTTAAATACTGTGAGATGAAGAGTGAGTTGGAGGTATGGATGAGATAAGAATGGCTGAAAGTTGATAATTACTGAAGCTGGCCAATTGGGCTTCATTATCATATTCTGTTTACTTTGTATATATTTGAAATTTTCCATCATAAAAAGTTTATAATCTACATTCTGGTCTCTTTTAAAAAATCAGTCATGGAGAGAGAAAAAAGGTGGGAAGTATTCTAGATTAAAAGAGACAAAAGGGACATAACCAGGTGCAATATTTTTTGAACTTTGTTAAATGAACTTTGAATCTTGATTCTAGAAAACTAGCTAAAAAAGGACATTTTTGGGGAAAATTTGGGAAAGTTGAAAATGGACTGGATTATTAGGTGATGTAAGAGAATTACTATTTTTTTTTTTTAGGATGGATGACGGTTTTGTGGTTTTTATAGGAGAACATCTTTATTTTTAGAAAATGCATGATGAAGTATTTAGGTGTGAAGTATCATGATACGTGTGCAATTTATTTTCAAAGATCCAGCATCCCCCGTTTCAAAAATTCCACATGTACCCATTTGCACACACATAAACAAATATGGCAAAATGTTAATGATGGTTGGATTTAGGAGAAACATGTTCACTGTATTACTTCAATTTTTCTTACTGAAAATTTTTAGAATAAAAATTTGGGGGAAAAAGCTAATACATTTATAGTAGTTGAATAGATTTGACAAGAGGTTTTGGAGACTTTGACTAATGTTAATTTCCACATTTGTGAATACTGAAATCCTTGTACTAGGACACTGTTTATTCCTTCCTAACACCCCATTGACTGTTTCCTGATGAGCATTGTACTGTTACTATTTATTATAAAGGATAAGCTGAATTATTCCAAAATTTGAGGCCATGTATGAAAGCATTTTTATCCAAGAGTGGTGAAGCTAGTGATCTTTTTGATGATAATTTTTCTCATATAACTCATGTAGTTAGTATAGATGTGAAAAGTGGATTTCACAATATCCAAGTAGTTCTTTGTTTCTATGTTTTCATCTTAATTTCTCCAAGGAACAATTGCCTGTTTACTAGATTCAGTGGATGTGCAGTTAGATGTATTGTCTCTTTTAAGATCACTTGTAAGTGTAATCATAAGATTTGGAATTTCAGTCCTTTTGGCCTGGAAAGTATATTGTAATTTAGTCTTCTTGCTAGTATGGAGAAAGATAATTTTATATTTTGGTTAAGAAATAATACCAGGTGTGTGTGACTCATTCTATTTGTTCATTCTTTTTATTCATCCTACAGGTATTAGTCTATCTTTGTTTTAGACATTGTGCCGAGTGCTGGGGCTACAAAGATGAATATACAGTTAGTTTCTGCCATTGAAGGACTCATAGCCTAGAAAGGAGAACAGATAAGCTAAAATGGTGTATTCTGAGTGCTGTATAATAACTGGGTGGGTGTCCACAGTGTGGTGAGAGCCCAAAGGACTGAGGTCCAAAGGCAGGTTTTTCAAAGAAGATGCTATTTGAATTGTAAATTGATGAAAGAAGGGCATTCTAGGCAGAGGGAACCACAGCAAAAAGAACTATGGAAAACATGACTTAGTCTCTAAGTTCAGAATGTGTGGGTATGGAGAGATGTAAGTGGGTGCTAGAAGTATCCAGACGGCAGGGCCTTGTATATAAACCAGGGAATTTGATTTTAAACTGTATGCAGAAGGGAGCCTACCAAGGATTTTAAAGTGGAAAACAATCAGCTTTGTATTTCAAGAAGAGATTATTTTGTTGGCAGTGTACAGATAAGTTTGACTGGAGAGTAGGGAGACTGTTGTCAGGGAAACTTTTTTTGTGGTAGTTCAGGTGAGTGAGGTTGGTCCCTTGAAGAAAGAGAAGACAGGTGAGAAAGCTGAAGGAGATACGAAAGAGGTTAGTGATCTCTTAGATATCAGGGATAAAGGAAATGTTAAAATATTTAGTTTTAGAGACTTTGAGGATGGAATTTCATAAAAGGAAGTCAAGATTCTAAGAGGTGCAGTGTAGTGTAGATTTTGGACATTTCAAATTGGAGTGTAGCTCTGATGACTGTTTTTCTTCATGATTTTTCATTTGCTAACCATTAAAAACTCCTATGTCTCAACAACAACAACAAAAGAAACAACCCAATTAAAAAAATGTGTGAAAGGACTTAAATAGACATTTCTTTTTTTTTTTTTGACCATGAGAAATTGGTTTGAAAAATAGACATTTCTTTAAAGAAGATATACGAGTGGCCAATAAACACATGAAAAGATATGCTCAACTTCACTAATTAGGCAAATGCAAATTACAACCACAATGAGTTACCACTTCATTAGGTTGGCTGTTACCAAAAAAATAAAAATAACAGCTGTTGGTGAGAATGTCTAGAAATTGGAACCCTTGTGTATTGCTGGTGGGAATATAAAAATGATGTAGAAAACAGTTTGGCAGATCCTCAAAAAGTTATACATAGCCAGCCTGAGCAAGAAAAGACCCCATCTCTACTAAAAATAGAAAGAAATTAGCTGGACAACTAAAAATATATAGAAAAAATTAGCCGGGCATGGTGGCATGTGCCTGTAGTCCCAGCTACTTGGGAGGCTGAGGCAGAAGGATTGCTTGAGCCAGGGAGTTTGAGGTTGCTGTGAGCTAGGCTGATGCCACGGCACTCTAGCCCAGGCAACAGAGTGAGATGCTACCTCAAAAAAAAAAAAAAAAAAAAAAAAGTTATACGTAGAACTACCATATGATCCAGCAATTCCACTTTTAGTTGTATACACTAAAGAATTGAAAGAACTGAAAGGAGGGACTCATAGATACTGCAGTGTTTGTAGCAGCACTGTTCATAACAGCCAAAAAGTGGAAACAACCCCATACATCCATTGACAGATGGATAAACAAAATGTAGCATATGCAAACAGTGCCATACTATTCAGCTTTCAAAAGGAATGAAATTCTGATACATGCTACAACCTTGAAATTATTATGTTAAGTGAAATAAACCAGACACAAAAGGATACATATTGTACGATTTTAGTTATTACTATATGAGGTACCTAGCATAGGCAGATTTTTAGGGAAAATGGAATAGAGGTTACTAGGGCTAGGGGAAGAGGGAAATGGGGAGTTATCGTTTAATGGGCTCAGAGGAAAAGTCCTGGACAGTGGTGAGGTTGTATAACATTGTGCAACCTCACAAATTATACAAACCTCGTAAATTTAATGTTAATGCTACTAAATTGTACACTTGAAAATAACTAAAATGGCAAATTTTATGTTGTGTATATTTTACCACAATTAACAAAACACATAAAAATGCTGCTAAATAATTTGAATAAGTGATTGTGAAGCATGCCAGTTAAAGTTTAATAATTTTTCCTTATTTGTAATTTGCAAGATTGGCCTTTAAGAAAAGGAGATGTTAGTTTTTCCAAATATTTTTCTAAAGTGAGTCTAGGGAGATTCTAAGAATAATGAGATCAATTGATAAATCTGGAGACTATAAAATAGCTTAGCAATTTGAAACTCTTTTGATAATCTTTAGCTTTGTGTGTAGGATACAGGATTTAATACAGGTTGAGCCATTATTTGAATTTTTGTTGTAAGACTTCTATCTAGGAGGTTTTTAAATTTTGTCTTTTCTTTTTTCATAAAATCTATTTATTTTTAAATATTTTATTTTTATGGATCTTTTGATAAAATTTAATTGCAAACATAGTTTATCTTTCCTTATAAAATTTCTCATTAATTAGTCTAATTTTATTTTTTCATATTCTATTTTGTTCCCATGGTGTATGTGTTGAGCTGAGAAGGAGGGAAAGTTATTATGTAGATGCCATTATTATTATTTAGATGCCATTAGTTAATAGATTATTATTTAGAAACAATTCTCTTAGGTAAGCATTTTGTTTTGATTTTAGGCATTGTGGTGTGACTTCATTATATCACAGGATAAGTCTGAAAAGGCCCACTACAGTAAGTTTCTTTTTGAAATTTTATTTCTCTTATGATGATTCTAAATGTTTGTCTCATTGTTTTTTTTCATTCAAAATAAGTAGCCACTAATAGTGGTTTAGCCTAAGTATCTTTTTTATTGTGCATTAAAGAATTTGTATTGTTAGGATCGAACTCTTTAGGGGAAAAACTCAGTAAATCTTGTTGTACACTTTCTTTTCAGGTAGCTATGAAGTAGAAAAATGCATATGTATATTGCAAAGCTCATGTATTAACATTCATAGCATAGAAGGAAAGGATTACATAGCTTCCTTACCATTTCAGGTAAACTTTAATGTTTCAATTTTTTGTGTGTATTTTGTTGGAGAACATTTTGAATTAATTGATTTCAGAGGTATGTCCTATGTCTCTTATGTCTTGTAGTAATCAAGAATGTTATTTTTACTCAAATAAAATAACTACATTTTGGCGGCTTTAGTGGTTTGCCATTTTTCTATTCTACCCATAAAAAATAAGTTATTTAATGAAGTGAATTATGAAGTCTTTTCTGAGAGGCTTTTTATCAGTTTAAATGGCATATAAGAAACTTCGGTTATATTAGATAAGGCATGGGAACAATACTGGTCTTTTTCCTGTTGTGCTTTGTCTTTTTAATGTCTAGTGCTATTGTTAACATTTTATCACATTGTCATTTTTTTACTATACTAGCCACTGGCAGGAATTTCACATTGAAAAACTCCTCTTCCTTAGATTTGATTTTATTTTAGAGTTGCTTATCAAAATTACTTTTTAAAAATATTATACTTAATGATCATTTTACTTTGTAAAGATCTTATGAAATTGGAAGAAAACCTAATGTTTTGTAATGTTTCCTAAAAACATTTTATAAAGGGTAGATACTCTTACTTCTGTCTTTTCCCACTCTTTTACCTGGTAGGTTGCAAATGTTTGGCCCACTAAGTATGGATTGTTGTTCGAACGAAGCAGTTCTTCACATGAGGTACCTCCAGGTCCACCCAGGTATTCATTTTATTCAGTTCAGAATGTTACTAACTTGGGCTTTTTTTGTGTTGGTTCTGAGGTAAAATTGTTTACCTAAAAATTTGGGATGATGATAATTTTTGTGCTAATAGCATAGATATACTGCCATTTTCTCTCATCTTAGTACAGGTTGAGTATCCCTAATCTGAAAATCCCAAATGCTCTAAAATCTGAAACTTTTTGAATGCCACCATGGTGCTCTAAGGAAGTGCTCGTTGAAACATTTTGGGTTTCAGATTTTCAGACTAGGAATGCTCAACTGGTAAATGCAGATATTTCAAAATCTGAAAAAATATGAAATCCAAAATACTTCTGGTCGCAAGCATTTTGGATAAGGGATAGTCAACCTGTATTGTATAATTATGAGCTTTACTGTCTTGGCACTTAATTATCTACAATTTTTTTCCCCACCAACTAGTAAAATTGAATAAGCAAATAGCTTGAAAATAACAAGATTCAATTTTTAGCTGTCATGTTTTCATTGTACTACTTCGGGAAGATCATGAGAGCTTTCTTAGCTTTAGTTTCCTTATATGTTACAGGAATGTGATCATTTACCTCATTTACCTCTTAGGATTTATGCAAAGATCAAATGAGCTAAATGTATATAAGCTTTGACATAGGGCCTGGTGTGCATTAGGTGTGCAATAAATGGTGGAGTCTTATTGGTAGTGTGTTTACGTTGTCTCCCTATGAATTGGGAGTGCATTGAAGCGCAGGAGCATATAGCACCTATCTTTGTGTGGTGAAGAGGTAGACACTTGCTGAGTTTAAAAATACTGCTTGTAGATTTTAATCTCTTTCTGTTTCAATAGAGAGCCTGTTATATCCCTCCTTTTAAAAAAAGTACTTCAAAAATGTAGGCTTTTAATTTACTTGAAGTAGTTTTCCTTCTTTTTTTTAAGTATACTCCCTTGTAAGCAGGTATAGGAGACAAAATTTCTTTCTTAGCTTCCATAGACATACTACTACTAAGAGAGGTAAATAAAAAAGACTGCCTTATGCCCATTACTCCATTGAATCTGTAATGTGAGGACTACTGTTTGCACATATTCCCTGGGTTATATTGATTTCCCTCTGTATGTATATGTAAAATTACTCTAAGGAGAGATTCCAGGATTGAAATAGAAGACACTGTGAAAAGCAATATGTAAAAAGTTTAGAAGATTGCATTTTGAGATGATGGGTTTTTTGTTGCTCTTGTAATCTGGAGAAGACATTTCTATGTAAGGAAAGTGCAAAATTTGACAAATGTAGTCATCTTACATTGGCAATTGATTATTTATTTCTTTATTGCTAGAGAACCTTTACCCACTATGTTCAGCATGTTGCACCCACTAGATGAAATAACCCCACTTGTTTGTAAATCTGGAAGTAAGTGTATTTTTATATCCTTTTATATAAGCTTTTTTGTTTTTTGTTTTGACTTGGGATAAGAAGGGAGCTTATTTGAAAACTGACTTGTAAAAATAATATAATTTAAGCATTTTACAAAATTGACTTTTTATTATGGAAGTAGTTCATATTAAAGCAAGAACTTCTTCCTATTACCATGGTATTAACTGTTCTACGTTTATTTTAGCAAAACAGGGAAAGTGAAATATTAAAATTTACACAGTACAGGCCCTGCATTTTTTCTTTAAACAAAAAAATTTTAGTTCATCCAAATATCTATCATTTATTTATTCATAAGGAATGGAGTCATCTACACGTAGTTTAGTAGATATGTCAGTATTCGTGATTGATTTATATATCTTACTTTTACTAGAATAACTTTTAATATTTCCTACAAGTAGTTCTAGCTGCTTATCTTTAAATTTTTAAGTTTGGACAAACATAGGATAAATAATAAGGACCTAAAGGCTGAAAAAATGTTTATATTCTTTGACATTTTTATATTTTTAGGACTTTATCCCAAGTACATATTCTGATATACCACTGAGGCTTTAATCTGCTATATCACGCGTTGGCAAACTGCACTACATAGGCCAAATCCAGCCTGCAGCATGTTTTTGTAAAGCTTATGAGCTAAGAATGGTTTTCACCTTTTTAAAGAGTTGTAGAAAACAACAAAGGTTATGTGACAGAGTTAGTATGTGGATTGTAAGCCTAAACTATTCACCCTTTGGTATTTTACAGAACTTTGTTGACAATTTTATATTATATTGGTAGCAGTTAGAGACAACCTAAATAAACATGTTAGAGCCTATGATTAAGTGGTATGCAGCCATCATTGATCATGTCTTTGAACAGTATTTAATGACCTCAGGAATTGCTTATTCATAATGTTAAGTAGAATACAAAATTATAAACACAATATGATTCCGATTTTGTAAAAACCTATAAAGTGTGTGTATATGTATAGAAAAAAATTGGAAGAAAAACTCCCTAACATATTAATAGTGGATATTTTGAGATGGTGGCATTTTGAGTGATTTTTATTTATTTTTTTATAAAGTACATATTTCTTAATTTTTATAAAATCTTTTAAAATTTTTTAATATTTTAACTGAGAAGGAAGCATTTAGGAAGTGTCAAAAAAGGATATCGAAACCAGTCCATGGTACTTAGGAAGTAAAAGCTAAGACTTGCTAGGAAAAAATTTATTTTGCATGTGTAACCAGTTACGCAGAAGCAGTAACATACTGTTCAGCACTGTTTGAATAGTTATTATAGAGGACAGATTTCATACGGAAGAAAAGAATCAGTAAGGAAGTTCAACTTGAAAGAGTAGTCAATGCAATTGACTCAATCAATTGATTATCAATTGATAAGTAATCAACTTATCAATTGATAAGTAATCAACTTATCAATTGATAAGTTGATTCCTGAAAGAGTCATAGACTTTTTACCTAGGACTGCTGAATTTAATGGTGAGTCAGCACAAATCTTTAATATTAATTGCATGTATGTGAAATAGAAACTTGTAATGCTTTCATTTTTTTTTTTTTTTTTTTTTTTTGAGACAGAGTCTCACTGTGTTGCCCGGGCTAGAGTGCCGTGGCGTCATCCTTCCTAGCTCACAGCAACCTCAAACTCCTGGGCTCAAGCGATCCTCCTGCCTCAGCCTCCCAAGTAGCTGGGACTACAGGCATGTGCCACCATGCCTGGCTAATTTTTTCTATTTATTTTTAGTTGTCCAGCTAATTTCTTTCTATTTTTAGTAGAGATGGGGTCTTGCTCTTGCTCAGGCTGGTCTCGAACTCCTGAGCTCCAATGATCCAGCCACCTCGGCCTCCCAGAGTGCTAGGATTACAGGCATGAGCCACCACGCCTGGCTGTTTTTAATGTATTTTAGGGAAGTTGATGGTCAAAGTAAATTTATTAAAAGTTCAGAGTTAATGATGTAATATATTGATGGATTTTGTGCTCTGATTGGCTTGTTTTCTCTTTAGGAATTTTAAGAACTTGGTTCATAAAACCCATTGTTCTATACCTGATTGTTTCTGTTTTATTTTTCAGGTCTTTTTGGTTCATCACGGGTGCAGTATGTTGTAGATCCTGCAATGAAAATTGTTTTCCTCAACATTGACCCCTCCATTGTAATGACCTATGATGCTGTTCAAAATGTGCATTCTGTGTGGACTCTCCGGAGAGTCAAATCAGAGGTAAGGATAAAGCCAAGTCACTTCTCCTTAATATGAAAGGGTAGTTAATACTGAACACCTTCCTATGTTTTTGGAAGAATCATTTGTGAAATAGATTGAGCTTCTTGAAGAAAAAGAAATATCGTATCTTTAATAACTGATAACCTGCTCTGCATTCTCATAAGGAAATTGTCCTTTATTCTAATTACCATCTCCCCTCCCCCCCCTTCTTCATTTCAACTTAAGGAAGAGAATGCTGTTTTAAAGTTCTCTGATCAGGGGGGAACCCCACAGAATGCAGCCACTAGCAGCTCCCTCACGGCACATCTCAGAAGCCTCTCCAAGGGAGATTCCCCTGTGACTTCACCTTTCCAGAATTATTCCTCCATTCACAGCCAGAGTCGCTCAGCCTCATCACCCAGTCTGCACTCTCGCTCTCCTTCCATTTCGAACATGGCAGCTCTAAGGTGCGAGGGTTTCCTTGTTTTTAATGAGATACCCCAAACAAAAAATACCTTGTTTACAAGCTTTCTCTTATGTGTTGAAGGATTTAGAATTTATTTTGATAGCTTTGGGTATTTTTTAGGGAAACTAGCCATTATCCCAGTTGTGCTACTTTTACTAAGACTTCCAAGTCTACTATGTCACTTTCTTCGCATTTAGAAGCTGCTTATGCTTATTGTAAGATTGGTTGCCTCATTCCTGCCACTATGTGGCAGCAGTTTGATGAATATTAATTCCCAAAATACTTTGGTACTGTTTTCTTTTGCCCTAACTTATATTAGTTTTTCTTTTTTCTTGTTAGTTGATATCCCTATATGTCTACATACATAGGTAAATATGTTTATATCACCAGCTATAGATACATACATATATCTGTTTTTGTTGATTCGTGTATATATCTATATCTGGTGCTATAAGGACATAGTTTGGTTGGTGTATATAGGTCTGACTGTACAGGAACATTAGACCTTTCAGAGATGATGTCTTGCTACATTACCCAGGCTGGTCTTGCGCTCCTGGGCTCAGGAGATCCTCCTGCCTCAGCCTTCCGAGCTGGGACTACAGGAATGGGCCACCATGTTGGTTTAGATCATTTTGAGTAATATAAACAATGCATTTTCTGAGGAGGCAAATGAACAAATTTTTAGTTTTAAAAGAATGAATTCTAACAAGAATTCTAAATCTTTAGAATATAGTAAAGCATATTGACATGAACCATTTAAATAGCTACTCTTTTTTGAAAATTTTTTATTTCTGAGTAGGATTATGCCATGAATGCTCTTCTGTTGTAGAATTTTGGCAAGTGTCATGGTAGCATGTGCCATATAAGCCTGCATTGCTAATTGTTTTGCACTCTCTCCTCTGTTTATTTTACAGTCGTGCTCATTCTCCTGCCTTAGGAGTGCACTCTTTTTCTGGGGTACAAAGGTTCAACCTTTCAAGCCATAATCAGTCTCCAAGGAGACACAGTATTTCTCATTCTCCAAATAGTAATTCTAATGGCTCCTTTCTTGCACCAGAAACAGAGCCAATTGTTCCGGAACTGTGTATTGACCATTTATGGACAGAAACGATTACTAATACAAGGTTTGGAGTATATATTTTTATATTCAAAGAAAAATGTTGCTAAAAGTCTTGGAAAATATTTGATATTTTGCTTGAGGTTTCCATTTAATATAATCAGTTATTAATATGTGTAAAAATAGAGATATGTGTTAAGGCCACCTCAGTTTCAGTAGAGGATATTAGTGATATTAAAGTGATCACAAAAATATTTTGTCATTTGATATTTCTTCCTTATTAGTAATAGTGTCTCAGATTTGAGATATTTGATGTTTCAGGGGAGAAACAACTAATTTCTGTAGATTAGAAAATTTGGAGTTTTACAACATTTTTCGTAAGTTTTATCTTCATGTTAGTTGAGTGTCAGCTTTACTTTTTGGGAAACACAGTTCAGACTTCTCTTCTGTGTGATCTTCCTCCTTTTATGTTCTCTTTAATAATTCATTGATTAATTCAGCCGTATGTCAGTATGTATGTTAATTAATGGTGTAATATAATAAGTCCCTCTCCTCAGAAGAGAGACATAGTTGAAGGATAGTCTCACAGGAGGGACTACTTCTTGTGCTGGTAGGGCTTTGGAAAGATGAGTAGGTATTTGGTGGGCAGGTAAGTGGGGAAGGCCCCAGTAGCAGGTTGGATCAAAACAGAAGTTCTGGTGAGTGTGTGGTATATTCAGGGAATTACAGGTACTCCCATTTTGGTTTGTGCAGTGGGGAGGGAAGGGCTGAGAAAGGAGGCTTGAGTATAGGATTGCCAGTTGCCCTTTAGGACTGTTTTATTTGATGACAGTGCTAAGAAGGCGCTTTGTATGTAGCAGAGCAATAAATGTGGGAGTTGTCAGCTTATAAGTGGTGATTGAGGTGAGAGGGGTGGATTAGAATTTAAGGAGTGTGTAGAGGTGAGATTCATGGGGTTCCTGGAGGGCCTGTGGATGAGCTTGCAGTTGCAGGGCTTCTGTTAACTCTGAAATTGTATTCAGTAATCATGTGTATGTACAGTAGATAGGCTTTTTCCTAAGGAGAGGGTTTTAACGTTCATTAATACATTAACTGCCATGTGAATTGTATTTAACTCATGCTAGTTTTGAGCCCAGGGCCTCATGAAGCATATGTAACTCACAAGTCTCTTCACCTTGGGAGCTGCGAGAACAGTTTTTCAAGTTGCATATAATTCATGCATGGAACACCATAAAAAATAACAAATTTTTTATTAAATTAGGATTGTTTTCGAAGTTTTTATTCTATTTTCGTGATAAAACACTGGCCCCAAGGAAAAATTTTTTTTCCTAGTGTGGCAGTCCATGTGTTAAATTCTCAAAGGGGTCTATAACCTCCAAATAGTTAAAACCCAGTGGTGTAGAATTAGAAGGTGGCTAGGGACTGAAGTCCTTGGAAACTTAAGATTTTGGGGGTAAAAAGAGACAAAGCTGCTGCAGAGAGACAAAGCAAAAGAGGTCAGATGGGAGCAGCAGGAGGGAATATCACAGAACACAAAAAAAGAGAGCATTTCAAGAATACAGAGGTACCAGTACCGCTAGGTACTGGTGGAGTGTGGCCCTGACAGTTGAGCCCAGAGAAGAGGTACTTGGGTGGCAGTGGGTTCACTGGTGTCCTTGGCCAGAGCATTTTAGGCTTGGAGGGTGGCAGAGGGTAGGGGGAAGTGGGGTGGAAAAAGTAAATGGGGACTGAGGAGGTCAGCATAGGCATACGGACTATTTTAAGGAGTTTGCCTTTGAGTGGGAATGAGGATACAAAACTAGAGGGAATTTCAGGGTCAAGGAGAGTTTTGTTTTTGCTGAAGTATGTTAAGGAAAATTAGTTTTCATGACATCTTGCCCCTAAATACCACAGTGTGTATCTCTAAGAAGTTTTCTTACCTAACTACAGCACCATTTTTACATCCAACCAAATTAACAATAAGTTATATATATATATATATATATATATCTCTAACATTTAGTCTATCTTCATATTTTAAGACTTTTAATATGAGATAGTAGGCTATAAGGACTATACTCAAAGCAGGGAAAGCATTGAAAATGTAGGAGAGAGGAAATGGTTGATGGAAGGAGGAACCAGAAATGAGCACAGGTGGAGAGGTTAGCCTTGGGGAGAAAAAAGTGATGATTGATCAGATACATAGGGCAGGAGGTTGAGCTCTAAAGCCTTACAGCCTGATTTTCTCTGTGGAATGGAAGGCAAATGCATGTTCTTAGAGGGTGGGGTGAGAGTAGGTAGGCAGAGGAAAGTAAAGATGTAGACACAGTGTGAAAGAGGATTCTCTCTGTTCTTCATATATAAAATAATTTTTTACATTCAAAAATCATTTTTCTTTATCCTATTTGTAAGTGCAATACATTGTAGATCCTTATTTTTCAGACTAAATGTCTTCTCTAGCACCTTAGAAAGAAAGATTTGGGAATTAGAGGTATAGTTTTTAAAAAAGAGATGTGAAGTGGGGCCTAATCTGAGGAGAGGATAGATAGGAGAAGTGATGTTATCTGACCCTTTAAGGGGTAGGAATTGAAGTTTGCGTTACTTTACAAGTAGGTGGCTTGCGTAGTATATAATTAAAAAGTCCATTGATAATGATTAAATTTATTGTAAATTTCCCCAACAAAGCTGTGTAATGGGTTCACAATCAAAGAGCTGAAAGGAATCTTAGAGATCACAAAGTCTAATTCTTAGAAGTGTTTTTGTGTCTTCAAGGTTATTACTTGATCTAAGTAGTTTTTAGATTTCTTGCAGAATATTTTCAAAGACCTTTAATATTTACTGTAACAGATGTTTGGACTAATACTGACAGTTACTTTATTAATGTATTGTAGAGAGAAAAATTCACAGGCCTCAAAAGTGTTTATTACATCTGACCTATGTGGGCAGAAGTTCTTGTGCTTTTTAGTAGAGTCCCAGCTCCAGTTACGGTAAGTGTATGTGTTTCCCGTGTGTATGTAATTTAGGGCTGCTTTGTCTTTTTTTTTTTTCCTGGCTTACGTAGCTTTATTGAGAAATAATTTACATATCATAAAATTGACATGTTTTAACTGTACAATTAAATGAGTTTTAGTAAATTTACAGAGTTACACAGTCATCACCACAACCAAGTTTTAAAACATTTCTATCACTATAAAAAGATTCCCTTATGCCTGTTTGTAGTTAGTCTCATTTCCATTCCCCGCCTCAGAACAACCACTTTAGGCTTTCTGCCTCCATTGTTTAGCCTTTCCTGGACATTTTATATATATGTACATAAAATCATAAAATATGTAATTTTCTTATGTTCAGCTACTTTCATTTAGCGTGATGCTTTTTAGGATTCAGCATTTTGTGACATGACGGCTTCATACCTATTGTTGTGTAGTAGTCTATTGTATACATCTACCACATTTTGTTTATTCTTCATTTCATGACATTTGGTTTGTTTCTACCTTTTGACCATTGAGGATTATGGCACTATGAACATTTGAGCAGAAGTCTTTGTGTGGACATATAGGATTTCATTTCTCTTGGGTACATACCTAGGAGTGGAATTGTTGGGTTGAACGGCAAATTCATGTTTAACTTTTTAAGAAACTGCCAAACTATTTTCCAAATAACCTGCACCATTTTATATTCCCACCAGCAATGTATGAAGGCTAATGTCTCTTTATCCTTGACAACATTGGATATTGTCAGTCTCTTTGATTGTAGCCATTCCAGTGGTTGTGAAGTGGTTTTAGTTTGAATTTCCCTAATGTTATTCTGACATTGATCATCTTTTCCTGTGGTTATAAGCCATTCATTTATGTTCTTAGGTGAAATATCTATTCAAATCTTTTGCCAATGTATTTACTTTTTATTTTGAAATAATTATAGATCACAGGAAGTTGCAAAATAGTAAAGAGATCCTTGTAGCTTACACTCTTTTTCTCCCAAGAGTTAACATCTTACATAACTATAGTACATTATCAAAACCCAGAAATTGATGTCAGTACTATCCATGTACTTTATTTCAAATTTCAGCAGTTTGAGATGTACTCATTTGTGTGTGTGTGTGTGTATGGTTTCATGCAGTTTTCTGACATGTATAGATTTGTATAAATACCACCATGATCAAGATACAAAATATCTTTATCATCTTAAAGATCTCTCTTACGCTACCACTTTGTAGTTGCATACACCTTATCCTCC